CTGGCAGTCAAGTGCCTTAGGCACTATGCTACCAGAGCTCCAAGAATTATTAACTTGTATGATATTATGCCTTTTGAAACAGCAGAGAGGAAAAAAGAAGACAAAGCAATATTGATTGTATTTGTTTTATGACTCAAATACCATAACTCTGGCTATTCTTACTAAGATTTAATAAATTTTCTTAAATAATATTTTTCCCATTTTCTATTTGCCTTAGGACAAGTTTTGATGATTTTTACCAGTTTTATGGTTGTTTCATTGGTGAGAGGGTCCATAGAGCACCTTGTGCTACCATTCTGAAAGTGCTTCTTCAAAGAACTTCTTTTCTTATATAATGCATTTCATTTTTTGTCGTTGTTGTTGTTGAGAATATAAACAGCAGAACATACACCAATTCAACAATTTCTACATATACAATCCGGTGACACTGAGTACAGTTTTCACATTGTGCTGCCATTCTCACCCTCCTTTTCTGAGTTGTGCCTCTGCCTTAAAGTCATTGCCCCGGCTAAGGTCCCTATCTAATCTTCCAAATTCCTATTGTCAATTTAATCCCATACAGATAGTTCTTAAAACAGCATAATTGCTCAAGGCAAATATTTTTTACTAGTTAAGTTAAACTATGGTTTGGTTCTAAAAAGACTCCAGGGTATAATTTTGGTTAAATGCTAAAGATTATCTCAGGGCAATATTTTCAGAGGTTTTTTCCACCCTCCATGGCTCCAGATAATCTGGATTGTGTAATAATTTTAAATTCTGTTTTGCAAATTTCCCCCTTTTGATCAGGAGACTTCTGTAGAAACTTTTATTAAAATGTAAAGAACTTCTTTTTAAAGAGTGAATATACTTAAGACTGTTCTGAGTACGAAAATAATGATGAATTCCCATTCTACCTCTAAGATTTTAAGCATGTTATTTTACTTAGGCATTTCTTCATTTTTAATATTCAGGCATATTTTACATCTCTAAAATTGTGGTGCAGATTAAATGATTATTTAGATAGTGTATTACAACATCTAACACAGAAATTGGCTCATTATGGACCCTAGATATATGTTACTTCTCTCCCTTCAAGCAGATAACTATTTCACTGGATAGCTGTATATTTATTAGTAATACAGCATCTGGCATTTGGTATTAGTGCAATAAATGTTGAACTAGATTAAAGGGTGGATGGATGGATGGTTTTTATGTGGTCAGAGTGAGTTCTATGGTTCCAATCATTGATTTGCCCATATAAAAAAACCATCACTAATATTGTTCTAATGGTACAGCCTGAACACTGACTTATCAAAACTGATGCCAGTTGCCAGGAGAGGGTGCATAATTTACACTGCCCAGGAAAAAATGAAATTTGAGGCCTTCTCTTCAAAATTTATTAAGAATTTCAACATTACAACAGCACATCAAACTATGCCTGAGACCCTTCAAAGTGTGGGAATTCTGTGACTGCACAGTTTGCACACCCATGAAACCATCTCTGCTGGCTTTAGCACTTGGTTATGGTCCTGCAAGATTACTGCTGTGTCAGGTGTTATTCCTTAGTTGCTGGTACTTGGGAGGTCTTGGAAGAGAGTTTCAAAACAAAGGTGTGGAGCAGCCACAGGTAGCAGAAGACAGATGGGTAGATGGGCCAGGTATGGGAGATAAACTGCGGGAACTGTTTGTATGCTAAGAATTTAGAAAATATTCAACACCTTAAAACTCCATCAGAATGGGAAAAAAAGTGGAATTTAAAAAATTCAAATGCACAAAATTTGGGGTCACATTATTGAAAGGTTAGTAAACCTACACATCCAGCAGATCAGGAGTTCTAGGAGAGCTTTTGCAAGTTGCAACACTGTCTAGATTTAGGGCCACTTTGTTGTCATATCTACTCTAATGAAGTGATTATGGCCTGAAGTTCTAGGTTTATGTCAGCTATTTCCAAGGGTTTTTTATTTTTTTGTAAGGCTTGTTATGCATGTTCCGAACAAGGAAACTGAAATACCAGGTCTTCAAGACTTACCTCAACCTCCCAGACTAGAGTTCACTGTCATTTCCCTCCCCAGCCTTTACAACAGCCTTCCATATTCCTTCTTCTTCCTCCAAGCTTCCCAAAGCATTAAGAACACTTTAGCAAGCCCAGTTTAGTGAGCCAATTGTATTATATCTTAATTCATATTATCACAATATGAATAACATAATAACAAACAATATTATCATATTATGTTTAACAACAACAAGTCTAGTGGTACATCCAGTCATTGATTCCAAGTGATAGTAAAGGATGGTATTGTTTACAACTCAGTTTTAGCTTTTCTTCCCTTTTCAGAGGTGATTGTGCCAATGATAGTCCCAGCTGTAGTTACCCTTGCTCCTGAGTTTGCCTCACCATGATGTTATTTTATTCTTTTTCATTCTAAAATACTGCTCTAAGTCAATACTTTTCAAATTGAATGTGCAAATGAATCACCCAGGAATGTTGTTCAAATGCTGGTTATTAATGGAGTAGGTCTGGATGAGGGTCTGAGATTCTGCATTTCAAACAAGTTCTCAGGTGATATGCCCGTGTAGGACAGAACTGCCCCAATAGAGTTTCCAAGGCTGTGTAAATCTTTATGGAAGCAAACTGTCACATCTTTCTCATAGAACAGCTGGTGGGTTTGAACCACTGATCTTTTGGTTAGAAGCCGAGCACTTTAACCACTGTGTCACCATACTCCTCCACACATGCATGCACACACACGCACACACACACACACTGTTGGTCGGTGGAGCAAAGAATAGAAATGCTACGAATAATATAAAGTATAATTTGGTCCAAACTAAAACTTGGTTCTTGATTGTAATCTGTAGTCCATTATTCCTCAAGTTTAAAGCAACTGTTCATATCTATGTGCCCACATTATATTCTAGAAATCAACTGTCAAATAGACTGAAGGTTGAATGTGCTTTTGATAGGCTTCTTAACTAATTTAAAAGGCTTATTCCTTTTGGCTCCTGAACCCAAAATTCACATCATCAGGAAGTTGGAAGAAATGTTGGCTGCCAACTAGTGGAGGAAACTTGCAAACTTTTAGTGTATAGTTTATGACTTCTGATTTTCAAATATGATCCCTAGTCATTTCATTATTTTCAGTCTTTTAAGTACTGCATTCCTCCCAGTTTTTTTCTTTAATGAAATTTGAAAAACTAATTTAGGACTATGAATTTATTTAAAACTTCTTGCTTCCTATTCCTTTCTACAGGTTACTTTAAAAGCCAAATAATCTTACTCATCATGAATATACTCATCCTAAATTCAATTTTTAGAAATGCTAAAGCTGGGTTCAGAAGAGGATGTGGGATATCATTGCTGATGTCAGATGGATCTTGGCTGAAAGCAAAGAATACCAGAAAGATGTTTACTTGTGTTTTATTGACTATGCAAAAGCATTCAATTGTGTGGATCATAACAATTATGGATAACATTGAGAAGAATGGGAAATCCAAAACACTGAATTGTACTCATGAGGAACAAGTGCATAGACCAGGAGGCTGTCTTTCAAACAGAACAAGGGGACACTGCATGGTTTAAAATCAGAAAGGGTGTGTGTCAGGGTTGTATCTTTTCCCCATACTTATTCAATTTGTATGCTGAGCAAATAATCCGAGAAGCTGGACTATATGAAGAAGAACGTGGCATCAGGATTGGAGGAAGACTCATTAACAACCTGCGATACACAGATAACACAACTTTGCTTGCTGAAAGTGAGGATGACTTGAAGCACTCGCTGATGAAGAGTGAGGACTGTAGTCTTCAGTATGGATTACATCTCAATATAAAGAAAACAAAAATTCTCACAACTGGTCCAATAAACAGTTTCATGATGAATGGAGACAAGATTGAAGTTGTCAAAGGCTTCATATTACTTGGTTCTACAATCAATACCAATGGAAGCAGCAGTCAAGACATCAGATGACATATTGCATTGGGAAAATCTGCTACAAAAGACCTCTTTCAAGTGCTGAAGAGCAAAGTGTCTCCTTGAGGACCCCAAGCCATGATATTTTCAACCATCTCTTGTGCATGTGAGAGCTGGACAATGAATAAGGAAGACCAAAGAAGATTTGATACTTTTTGAGTGGTGGTATTGGTGAAGAATACTGAAAGTACCAGGGACTGCCAAAAGAACGAACAAATCTGTTCTGGAAGAAGTGTAGCCAGAATGCTCCTTGAAAGCGAGAATGACCAGACTTCGTCTCACCTACTTTGGTCCTGTTGTCAGAAGGGACCATTTCTCTGGAGAAGGATATCATGCTTGGTAAAATGGAGGGTCAACAAAAAAGAGGAAGGCCCTCAACAAGATGGATTGAAACAGTTTCTACAACAATGGGCTCAGGTATAGCAAAGATCATGAGGCTGGCACAGGACCAGGCAGTGTTTTGTTCTGTTGTACGTAAGGTCACTATGAGTCAGAGATGACTCGACGGCATCTAACAATAACAACAACAAGTTCAATTTAAAGGAGATCTGATGGCACGGTGGTTAAAGCATCTGGCTGCTAACCAAAAGGTCAGGAGTTTGAACCCACCAAAAGATTTGCAACATTTGAAACACTATAGAGCACTTCTACTCTGTCCTAACGGGTCATTATGAATTGGATTCAACTCAATGGCAGTAGGCTTGGGCTTTGAAGTTCAATTTTAACAAATTAGAATCTCATTTTCCAATATTTGGCAATATCTTTGTGGCTTAGCAAAAGTTACAAAATCATATGGTTTTATTGATACATAATTGAATCAATTCTGACCCATCCCTTGAGTTCTCTAGGTGCAGCACTCTCACTAGGAATTTATGAGAAAATAAATGTTACAGAATCTAGCAAACTTTCCACTAGCACAGGGTTGAAGTACTGTAAAACCTATTTAAATACAACAGTAGTTTAAAATAAAATAAGATATATTTAACATTTTGAGAAAATCAGTTTAATAAACCTCTTATTTGACATTTGGCCATACGACTAGAAATTGGTGAATCAGCAGAGTGTTTCTTGCTGAGTAAAAACTTCCTTTTTCAAATTAAAAATCTGAAATTAAGAAAGAGCTCCATTATTAATAAATAGTCATTAATAACAAACTAATTGAGGATTAATAACTCAGATAAATATGCAAAAGGCATTCAGTAGAGAAATGAAATGAAGCATTTCATATACATTCACATGTCTATCTCTAATAAAAGATATTTTTCTCTAAGTCACAACTCTTTAAAGCCCACCAACCCATACTGATCTCTCCATCCTCTGAAATTCTATAACATCTGTATCATTCAAATAACAATCACCTAAAATCTTTCTATAATTTAGGTTTCATTTTTTTTTAATGTATTCCATCTCCCCCAACTACAGAGTGAGTTGCTGGAGGACAGGTGCTACATTGTGGAATTTTTTATGTGATCTTTTCCCTTATACTATCCCCTAATGTAGAGAGAAACAGTATGGCAGATTCTAAAGCATTATTCTTCTATTTAGGCAGAATTAAATCCACACCAAATTATAGCCTGTTAGAATTAATTTTAAATTATGTATTTGTAAGATATCATCATAATCCATAAAACATCAATTGTACATCAACAGTGCGCAGGCAAAATTATAAAATGTAGGTCCTTCTGTTCTAAATGCAAAACATTTTTGGTTATCTACTCAGTTTCAGACTAAATATTGTAATGTTACACAACTCACCGTTTTAAGAAAAGTTCTTTGCTTATGTAAAAGCAGTAAAGATATTAACAAAACAAATAATGAGATAAAACCAAATGGTAACATGAAATATATCAAAGTTTCCTTCCATATGTCACCTAGGATTAAAAACCACAAAAAAAGGGAGAAGGATTAGAGGTTTATAATGTATATACATTTTTATTGCACATCAGAGGCAGTAAGTGGATAAGTTACTTAACCTCTGCTTCAGTAGTCATCTTTATTTTTTTTATTGTGATTCGAATGAAAGTGTACAGAGCAAGTTTGTTTTCCACACAATTCATACACATTTAGTTTTGGACATTCATTGTAATCCCACAATGTAACAGCACTCCTCCCACTTCCTCCCTGTGCTTACCATTTCCCTGCTTCGTCCTTTTATCCTATTCCTTCTTCTGTCTCCTGAGATCTATCCCTGGGCAAATGCTCCCCTTTTGATCTCATATGGTTGATTGTTCTGAGGAGTATGTACCTCCCTGGGATTACTATTCACCTCACAGGTCTGTCTGTCATTTGGCTGAAAGTTGACCCACAAGGGTGAGTTCAGTTCCAGGCTTGAAGAATGACTAAGGTCCATAGTTTCAGGGATTCCACTAGTCTCTATCACACAAGTAAGTTTGGTCTTTTTTATGATTTTGAGTTTTGTTCCCCAATTTTCTCCCACTCTATCCTATTGTGATCCCTTTCAGAGCAGTCAGTAGTGGTAGCCAGACACCATGTAGTTCTTCTGGTCTCAAGGTCATGGAGGCTGAGGTTCGCGTGGTCCATTAGTTCTTTGGACTAATTGTTTCCATGCATCTTTGATTTTCTTCACTCTTCTTGGCTTTGGGCAAGGAGAGAATAATAGTTGTACCTTAGATGGCTGTTTGTAAACTTTTAAGACCCCAGCCACTACTCACCAAAGTAGAATGTAGAATATTGTCTTTGTGAACTGTGTTATACCAGTTGACCTTAGTGTTCCCCCAACA